AAGTGCAGCACCTTAACTGAAACAAGTGGTTTGTTTAAGCTTGGTTAGTTACAGCTGACTGGAGACAGTGAGTGTTGGGTTGTGTCGACCAAGGTCAGTTTTTCTTTCCATATTGGTTTGAACAAGATGCCAGCTACCAGAGGCTCAGGCTCATGATGTGGTTCAGAGGATCGTGGAAACCCAGCATCACAGAGGCAGTGCAGGATTTGCTGATGTCTTTGGGACATCATCTCTTCCAAGCAGCTCCCTGGGGATAGGGGAATTAAGAGATGTGTGTGCTATGCAGCAGTGCTGAACCAAAACAGGCATTTGCTGCCCACAGCCCCTCCTAACTCCCCATGGGAGCTTCTGCTTTCCTGTGCCACTATTATTCTTTTAGCCATTTTTGGGAAGCCCAAAAACATATGTCATCTTTGTCTTCTTTTCCTTGGGGTTCAGCAATGCAAGTCAGAGTTTTAGCAGAAGCAGTGTCAATAATTCTGTCTCTCTCTCTTGACATACAAGGCCAGTCATTGCAGGGAAGGTCTAGCAGGTTGTATCCACCAGCAGAAAAAAAGCCTCCTGAATTGGGTAATTCTGCTGAAGCAAAGGAGGCAATGCTTTATCTCAGTCCTGTTCTCTCCATCCACAACAAGGCTAAAACAGCAGGAGGCATTTTCATTGCTCACAGCTCCATCTCTCTTTTCTCTTTTTGGCTAAATAAAAGTGTCATTGTTTTTGTTTTTTTGCTTGTGTTTTTTTTTTCTTTTCACTCTTTGGAATCACACTGCTGGGGCTGCCACGTGCTCTCCACAGCTGGATCAAAGTCTCTGTCTGCCACTGTGTACCATTGCCTCCCATTCCCAAGCACACAGGTATTCCCCCATCTCCCTCCCCCTCCAATTCTCCAGCATCCTGCTGGAATGTTGGCCTGAACTTTGGACAATGGTTGTTCTTCCAGAGCCCTCAGCTGGGAGATAGGATTAGTGGCTGGCTAGCTCAAGCTCCAGGGAGCTGCTGTGATGCTCACTGGGCTAAAAAATTTTAGTTTGCCCCACATCCATCTGTATGTTAATGTAGTCAAGCAGAAAAAAACAAACCAAAACATGATCCCCCCTTTGTGTCAGGAAAAGAAAGAAGTGTGAAGGTCTGTCAGAATGTTTTCTCTGTCACAAGTTTTGTCACCCTTCCACTGAAGGCTATAGGGGACTAGGGGACTAAAGCCTTTATTTTTTTTTCTGAAATTAAATTCTACTTTTTCCTCTTTTACAGTTTGTGCTAGGCTTGACTGGAAACAGCAACAAAACAACACTTAGGAGTGCTTTTTGTTAACATATTTTTTAAAACTTCCGTTTCTGTTTCATGATAGAAATCAACTACACTATAGAGTCCTGTTTGTTCTCTGATTCCTGCTCTCGTGTCATAATATTGTTCTGCTATAAAGTTTCTCAATAAAATCTAGTGTACATTATTACATATTCTATGTTATACATGGGGATTGCATATATAGCTATCCTGGGAGTTTTCTTTGGGATGTGATAGATCCTACATGACATTTTATAGAGAATTTTGTTCAATTTTTTTAAGTGGATATACTGCCAAAAAAAAAATAAAATCTAAAATGACATACTATATGTGCAATAGATACATACAAGATATAAAATACAGCCTATAGTAAAACATATCCCAATACTGTATCACACATCATATAATATAAACACAATAATAAACATCATAATAATATAAACTATATATAGCAGATGATTGTTAGTTAATGTATTTTGGACTGTATAGTGTATGTTATTACATACTGTATGTGTATTACACCTAATTTAATTAGACAAAATGTGTGCTGTATAGAAAACTCATTATATCAACCTTGGGTTTATATAATCCCTAAACACAGGTAAAAGCTGCAACGTAAAGTCAATATTTGCACACAAAGTATTTTGTATTACATAAACTAAACCATCTAGGTATCATCTAACATGGAGATAATATATAGCAGCAGTCTACTACAAATACTGTGGTTTAGAACACATATTATGGATAACATATAAGCTATATGATATTTAATATTCAATGTAAATGTAGCTACATATACACTAGCACAATAGTGGTATTTTATATAAAATAAATGTAACTTGGGATAGAACTGCACACAACAGTAGTATATAATAACAGTATAAAATATAACAGTAGTATTATGTAGTATATCCCTATGCTATTCTATTATATACTACTCCTTTATATCATATATTATATTTGTGCCATACCATATAGGAATTATATAATACTATGTTGTTTGTCTAGTAAATGCCATTAGCAAGATACAATACATTACATAATGAAACATAATATATCTTATCTTCTTATCATAATGAACTATATTGAATCTTATACTACACACACTATTTACTGTAAACACAACACATAACATTTTCTTTGACTGGGGGAAAGAGGTAATTAATGTCTGCTCAGCACCTGGCTTCTCATTTCCCTTTTCTGCAGAAAAAAATAAACACACTCTGCTCTGGTGTGGGGTGCTGTGAAGGGCACATCGAGCAGAGAGGGGATTTTTAATTTCACCATGCCCATTTGTGTACTTCTGGATTTTTGGGTCTCTGCTGCATGTTTCAACTGTCTTGTGATTTGATCTCTTCTTCTCTCTTCCTGCTTTCATTTCAAAACTCTTTCCTGACTTGCTGTTGCGATATAGTTTAAAAATATATTAAAGTCTGATAATTTAGGCTTACATTTCCCATCCAGAAGGACACTTCTGCCAAGCAGGTACTTGGAAACTGGTGTGAAATAAGTAGGACTTGTACGTACTGGGCAAAGGCCAAAGAGGTTCTCTGGCCTGTGCAACAGCTGGTGTCAGCACTGAGACCCAGACTTGCACTGAAAATTATTTTACAAAGCTTGTTTTGTTTTTTGCTGGGGAGAACCAGGAAGATCTTGGTGACTATTTTTAATAGGTGAGGTGTGTCTAGTTGCAAATGCCAACCACATTTTCCATCATCAACCAAGTGCATGGACTTGCTTTTCTACCAGGGAATGGATGATGCTCAACAGGTTTAAACTGGAGGAAAATTTCACCTGTGTAATGCAAATAGAGTCAGCCCCCCAAACCATGAGCCCTGAGCTGCCACCAGATGGAGTAACCTCCCCAACTACCTCCTCCACCATCTGTATTTTCATCAGGAATGATTTTTTTTTTTCCCTGAAGGAATTCATTATGATAAATATTTTATCATTGAATTCTGAAACAGTTAATAGTGATTTGACATTTACTTTAAGGAGTTCCTGATAATTTTAGTGGAGTGAGAAATTAGGGTATTTAATTGTCTCTGGACACTTTTACTTCAGAAAAAAAAGAAAAAAAAAAGAGAGAGAGAGAGAAAAGAAAGAAGCCCAACCTCAAGACTAATTAAAATCCCAAAACACGGTTTTTACCTTTCAAATAAACCAAGGTCATAATGGCCCCTTTAGAAGCTGCTGTGTGAGGGGGGCTAAGGGAGAGGAATAAAAGCCAATTTAAAACATGTACATAACCCTCTGAGGATATTCACATAGAAATCCTGAAAGGTAACCCAATTTCTCTTGGAGACTCTCTCTGAGAAGCTGATTAGGGAAATTGGTAATAAGAGCTTCTGATTCTGTAGACAAAGATTGACACCCAATGTGATCAGCTCCACAGAAGACTTTCCCAGGCACAAATCCACCACTTCAACACCTTCCCTTTTCAGTCCTGTTTTAGAAATTTGTCAAGAACACTCTCCTAACCCACATCATTTGGAAAAACATCCGTCTCTGGGAAGATCTGTGCCACTTCAAACACATGACCTTCTTCATACTCCAATGGCATGGACTTTTTCCTCTTGACGTTGTGCTAGTCAAGAAGGGTGGGAGGGACAGCACTTTTAGCTAAGAAGGCAATTTATTTGTTCTCTCTTAAAACACACACACTGTTACAGCAGAAATAGGCTACAGTGTGGGTAAAGTTCTGGACACAAAGTGAAAACAGTGAGAAGCTATTTCTGGTACTTCTCTCTCTCAGGTTAACTCAGACTATACATACAGTTGAGGCTTGCATACAGCAAAAACGCAGACATTCCCCACAGCCACGCATCTCCTGTACCTTGTCCTCTTCCATTGAGCAGTCCAAGGGTTTGCACACAAGGAAAGGTGAAATTTCAGAGAAGGAAGCCATTTGTTGGAGAGTGTTGAACCCACATAGCCCAGCCCCCTCCCTTCAGTTATTGATGTTTAAAACCTTGGCTGAGAAGAGTAAGGCTGGGCTGGTACACACAGTTTCACCTATGTCAGTGTCATGAAAGAGAAAAAAACCCCACTTTTATGGTCTTTAAGGTATCCTCTACCTATCCATTTTTTAAATAAGGGATGGTAGAAAGAACAGATAACATGTAATATACATAATTCCCTATTATACCTGTGGATTGCATTTATATGGAGTATTCTTTGACACATAACAGATGCTGGGATTTAGTGCAACAGGACAGGTTTTGTAACATCTCTTGAGCAGTGCTGGGACCAGCTAAGATGCCTTCCCCCTTTGAGCTGTAAGATCCTCTAAAAATCCCCTCTGCCAGGAGATATCTGGTTGTTACAAGAATCTGTCAAATGATAAATTTTAATGAGGATCTGGCTGCAGGTCCTTGGCTGATGTCCTTCGTTGACAACCAAAATTACCAAATCAAAATGTCCTTCGTTGACAAGTGTACTGCACCACTGGCATGGTGAGGAGGGCATAAACACACGAGTGGCATTGCCTTTTCTTCAGGACAAGCTTTATTAACTATTTGCTTTAACAAGGTAGTTATGAAGGCATTGGTTCTTTAGGTTACAAGGAAAGTAACGAGACTCAGGTTGAGCATGTAAATGACAAAGTAACAAGAAAGGCATATGTTAACCCAGATAACTACTAGACCATCTATTAGAAGACATTTTGCAAGCAACATTCTACATTTCTTTGCATTGAAGTAAAAACATATTTTTTGGTCAAGAAAATTACCTTTTTCAATTTTTACATTTTTTTTAAAACTTATATCACAAATGTCAGGGTAAGGCAAATCCTGGATGAACAATATGATAAAAATCCCTATTCCCCAAGAAAATAGATCCACGTACTCTGTTAAATTTTGTAATTTTAAAAGCAAAGCTGGCATGCACTGCATATAGAGAAAACTTTTTTTTTTAATATAATTTAATTCAAGTCCTAAAGCAGAACAGTGTTAATTCAAAGAGAGGCTTTCTCAGTGCTTTATAGAAAGAGTGACAATTAGCTGCAGTGACCCATTATTACAGACTATGTCTCAGTATCACCTTTGGATGTCATCATGGGAGCAGTCACCAGCCTGAGGAATATTGTGCCTAATGGTAGGGATGAGCACTTTCAGGCACAGGAGAAACAACAATCAAGCACAGCCTCTTACGTTGAATGCAAACAGCAGCACCCAAAAGCTGCTACTCCCTTTACACCACCTACTGTGAATACATTTTGAGTTTAAATCAAAATTCTTGACATAAATATCAGTATGGTCGTTCTCCAACTAACATTTGTTCTTCTACAAAACCAGCTCCTTACCTTTCTGCATCTCCAGAAGAACATCAGAGACTGACTGCATCAGCTTATTAACACAGCTGAGAACTCATGCTGCCAACGTATACTCACTTTATGAGTAGTGAAAAATGCCAACAACTTAAATCAAAACCCACCCAAAGGAAGACAGATATGAACAAGGCTGCAAATAGTACAGTAAGGACTTAATCTACTCATAGGTTTCCTTGCTTTACACTTTCTGGACTTCATGCTTTGCTGACACATCATTGGGCAAATGGTTGTTTCGAAGACTTGCTATTGTCTACCAAGGTTAAATAAAAAGCAAAATGATATTACTGGCAGGGGCTAGAGAGAATCTAATATGATGCATCTTTGCAGCTAATTTTTTTTCTTTAACTGCCAGTCAGTCTTCGCAAGACATTTAAGGAATCTTTATCTCCTTCTGAATGACCACACCTCACCACCCAACCTCCTGTGGGGCTGTCCCTTTGGCTCCCTTGCTAAAGCCAAAGTTGGTGAAAAAAGATTCTTGGCTAATGTTAATGTTGGCCATGGGGAAGCACAATCAGAAGGGGTACAGAACTACATTCAAGGGACTGGATGGTCTGTTGGAGTTCCCACAGTTACACCACCTCCTGATGCATTTATCCACTCCTGACTGACCTATTATGACAGCCTGTTTCAATTATAATTACACAGTATGAGAAATACACAGAAACACCAGGGACCATGCAGAAGAGTCCACATCCCAAAAGACACGTTCTGCCAAGCATGACCCCAAGACTGGGAAAGGAGAGCATCAGAGGCACCTCAAAGGGAACAAGGAGTCCCTTCAAGAGTATTTGGAGGAAACAAGAGTCAAAGGAATGGTAGCTACCAAATACAGGTAATCTTAGTGAAATTCTCAAACCAATTAATAGACTAACATTAGCTCATTTACTCCTACAATTGATCCAATTTGGAGTTGTCCATCCACTCCAGGTGATGAAGAAGCTCCTTGAGAGCCCCTCTGGCGCTAGTCACACCTGGGTGAATGTACCACTGGAGACAGCACACAGAAATACCCTTCCCTGATGCTTTTCCTGTTTTCCTTTCTAATCCTTATTTTTCCTTGACACCGTTTTGAATTAACAACAACCATTGACTGTCATAGCCCATGTTAGGTACACTCAGGTCACCCTTGACTTGCTGTTACTCCATCACAGGATTTATCATTAAAACTGCTCTAGCTGGGATGAACCTAGATCACAGGAGGATAGAGATATGTCTTACCTTTTTTTTTTACTTTTTTTCATGGCCAGATATTAAATACCTGTTCTGTGATTCAGGAATATTTTGGGTGAAAAAAGGAGTACAGAACCAATTATTTTATCACAATTATCAAATTAGAATCAATTACTGTGCTTAAAATGACCAAATTAGTCTTAGCAGCATTTAAAAATCCTGTTTGTAGCACATCCCACTAGGGACACAGGTTGCATGCTTTTCCATCCAGTGTATTTTCCATCAGTTTTGGTTACAGTACAGTTGGGATATGCACACGAAAACCTTTTGTTCCTTTTCTAAAAATTTCAGTGCAGCATTTACTGGCAGAAAAATTGACATATGGAGAGACATTCTTATTCAAATAACTGTTAATTGCTTTAAAAAAAAAAAAGAAAAATCCATGCATATGTGGTGGAAAATGTAATGAGGGCTCACAAAAGCTACTGTGTGAAGCTGTTAAAGCTGGGAACTGTATTTAAAGATGCCTCCAATGCAGAGTCTTTCCAGCATTGATGAAATGTCTGTTGTCTACCTGTACCCAAAGGTCATACTTACAGCACTGGTTTTGAGATGTGCAGAACTAACTGGAAAAAGCAGGATTTAGGGTGTTGGCTGTTTGAGGCCACATGTGTTATTCACATGTAAGGACGTGGCACAGCATAGGCTGAACATGGGAAAGAAGATAAAGATGCTAGAAAAGGGGTGGGCCTGGAAACAGGCTACTGATGGTATGATGCAGGAGGAAAAAAGACCCAAGATAAGAGAGGGACTCACATTTCAGAAGAAACTGTTGTAAACGCAGGGTTAATTGCAAAACATTGTTAGACCTGGGAAGTTATGATTCTTTCCAACAGACTTACAGAATGAAATGCAATGAAGAACAAAGAGAAATTAATAGCAAAGACTCATTCCCCCAAAAGCTCCCCCCCTCCCAACCCGCTGATCATCTCTGTGTGCTCTTTTCGGCCAAGAATGATGCTGGAGGATGTCAGCGCCTGCCCGTAGGGTTTCCATGGGTCTCTCCTCTCCTGCATCCTTCCTTTGACACAGCAGGAGAGAGAAAAGCAGAAAGAAAAAAGTGAAATTCTCAAATGTCTGCACAGAACCCACGTCTCATGTTTCCAGCAACAGATGCCTAAGGTTTCATTTTTTGTCCAATGTGTGTGTGTGTGACACAGCTTATGTATAACAGCTACTATTGGGTGAGCAAATTACCTGTGCTCATCAGGGTGTCTTGGCTTTCCAGAACATACCAGAGATACCAGCTCTGGCAGGTGCTTTGGTGACAAACAACACATTAAAGTACTAAAAATAGGAAGCAGATGGACCCCCTTCACTCCAGAACGACCCTTGTGAGATTCTATGAGGTTTAACAGGCTGATCAATCCTCCCTGGGGATTGCTCCTAGTAATTAAAACAGCAGCAACGGAGTTTGGATGACTTTGACAATGAGTTACAATGAATTTGACGCCTGCTTCTAATTCTGTGCATGCCATTGAACTGCTGAGCAAGACCTGGTGTGCCCAGGATCTGGCCCCTTTGCATAGAAAGATGCCTGCAAAGCCACATCTTGCAGTGGAACTGAAGAGATTTATTAATTGATTGCTAATTCATGAACAAAAACTACTCCAGCCCTAAACATTCACAGATGATCATTTCTATGGGAAAATGCAGCATGAGAAACAGATTTCTTAAGGGCCACATGAAAACTGCAATATTCAAGTAACTTTTTTTTAAAACAGAAGGTCATTAACATATCGATGTATTTTTAAGTTAAGGATTTCATTATTTCCTCTTTTTTGTTTGGGCAAAAAGCTAAGGGAGGGGGAGGAAGAGTTATGGGTGCTGCATTTTAATTAATATTTTGAGGGTGCATCCTATTTTTACTTCAGTACTTTTTAAATGGGACACTATCAGGGCTATTTCTCACTCCAGCAGTGTAGTAGCACATCACCTGTATGCTGATAAGGGCCAAGAGTCACGTTCAATAATAAGACCTTGTGTTTTAAATCTCTGTGTTACAGATGTTACATTGTACACCATGTTCTTGTGCTGCATGAAACCCCATTACAAGGGTAAATATAGGATGTTGCTGTTGATGATATTGGTACTTCTCAAAAACCCTACCCCAAAGGAAGCAGTGTGCACTCAAAATCACTTCTGAGGGAGAAATGGCTCCTGCTTCTTTTTGTTAGGGATGAGACCTGGACTTCTATCTTCCCACTACATTATTCATTTTAGTCTGGAAGAAATGCTATTTATGCCTATGAAACACACTTCCTCTACAGCCACCACTGCTCCAGCCACAGTACTATCATTTAGTGTGGCAAGCCAAAAAAAGCTCCGAAAGGCAGCAGAGCTCCAGAAGACAGCTCTCTGAATTTGCCTTGTTTTTCAGTGGTATTGCTGCAGAGATATTAGGTATGGAGACACAAGGGCAACAAACCCCTTACAATGTGAACCTTTTGTTCCCAGAACACAGCTCATACAGAACTGAGCTTTGTTCCAATCAGTATAAATTGCCTGTCATTTCCCGAAGCAATGCCAAAAATTGTTTGCTCACTTATTCTTCTGTTCCTTATCTCAGTGCTGTTTTGCCTTACAATGATCTAAGACCATGCACTACCTGCATCCATTACAGCTGCAGACTGCTGCTATAATATTTGCTTTTTTCCTTTTTCTGATGCAATACAGGCCATATTAGACAATTACTTCTCCTTTGTATTAGGTATTCCTATTTTTTTTAATGTTTGCTAAATTTTAACTTTAATTCAGTTGCTTTCAAAGCAAGTTTTTATACAGAAACTGTATGGAAAATAGGGGAGAAAAGATAATTGTGAAGATCTTACCTGTTACTTAAGGTTTCTGCTCTGTTTCCATTGGATCGTTTATACTTTCAACTTGACTATTCATTTCAGCTGAAAAAGAAACGAGATGGTCATTAAACTCTGTTAATGATACTTGTTAAATTATGTGAAGTAATAACTACTTTTAAACCAAAAGGGACATTAATTGCATTAAGAAATCTCTTAAGTCATCAAATAAGTCTCTTAGGGGACCCATCCTAACCCTGGACACTATGAGAAGCAGTCCTGCAAGGAGGAAGGCTTTAGCATCACTAGAAATGTGAGCCTCTGGCTCTAGATTTGCTCTTTGGTCCACATCCATCCAAAAAGTCCGACTTTGGCACCTAAGCAAGGAGTCCAGCTCAAGGGCAGAAGGACATTCATGTCTCTGTAGGCCACAGAGATACAGGTATTACCAAAGAGTGGCCTAGACTTGCTGGACTAAGTGGAGACCCTCAGATTCAAACCTTGACCCCCAGATTCAAACCTTGACCCTCTGATTTCAAACCTGAACCTTTTATTCAAACCTTGATCCTCAGATTCAAACCTTGACCCTCAGATTCAAACATCCACTTCTAACAAAGTCCTTGGTAGGACTCGGGTTGAGCCACAGGATGAAGACAGATCCATTTCCATAGAAAAATAGGATGATTAAGTTGGAAAAGACCCTTCAGGTCACTGAGTCCAACCTGACACTGCCAAGTCCCACTAAATCATGTCCCTAAATTACAGGAGCCAAGCTGTGACACTTTTGATGCCATCTCAGTTACAGAGATGCTGCTTCCAGAAGTTCTTGAACTGCAAATTGCTGGAACCTAGGGGAGAATTCAGAGGCAATGCCACTATATTCCTACAATAATAGTTTCTTAGTGTAAGATCCATTTAAAAGGCAATCTTATTTTAATTTAAAATTACAAAAAAAAAATCAAACAAAAAAAATTTTAAAAAATTAAATAGAAGGCTTAAACTAATTTCACTATGACATTTCTCAAAACTGTAATCTAAATTATGGCAGGTGTGATTGGTCATAGCAAGGCTAAACATAAATACCTGCAGTTTTAAGACTAATATTTAGTATTTGTTCTGCATTGAATTTGAATGAAGCCATTTATAGTAAAATAATTTTTTGTTTCTTTACTTTGTGTTATCACCTGTAGATTGTGAGGCATTTGATATGGGTGGCAGGGAAAAACCTCAAACATGAGTAAAAGATTTGGAAATTAAGATGGGAGAGAGGAAGGAAAAAACCCCAAAATCAATAACGATGCTACTTCCAGCCAGGTAGTATGATGTCTTTTCTGAATCAATATTATATCAATGTACCTGTTACAGTTTTGATGAATTGTTTGTAAATTATTCATCACCCATATGCAGAGAAGATACTGTAATGGCTTCCTGGATGTATGTATGAATAATATGAAAAGTATCCTCTCCTGATTACACAGCTCTGATGCACATCACATTTAGCAAGCTTTATATATTCTTTAACAATATTTGCATAGAAAATACAGGATGCTTAATAAAAAAAAAATCACTGAAAGAAGGCTGCTGCACACTGACAGCAGCATCCTCTCCCAGCCCCATCATGCTGGACAGTCTCACTGGCAGTATTTGCTGAAAATACCATCAGCCTTCACTCATGTTCCACAGAAACCACCTGCAAAATAAATCTGGACTTGAAACCTGTGGTGAGGCTCTGTCAGCATCCCAGATGAACCTTCTCCTACATATTTGTGTTGGAGCTCAGCTCTTTGCATGAGCTCTGCTAGGGACAGGGAGGTCTGCCTGAAGGATGGGCTTCTGCAGCCCACTGAGTGAACCCCAACATATGCCACTATGATTCCACACAGTTCCTTCTGTTTAGCTGGAAAAGTGCACAGCAGGGAAGCACATAGCACAAGAACACGTGGAGGAACTGCCACCAGGTATGGTGGGGATGGGAAAGGAAAAGGGAAAGGGAAATGGAAAGGGAAAAAGAAGGAAAAAAGAAGGAAAAAAGAAGGAAAAAAGAAGGAAAAAAGAAGGAAAAAAGAAGGAAAAAAGAAGGAAAAAAGAAGGAAAAAAGAAGAAGGAAAAAGAAGAAGGAAAAAAGAAGAAGGAAAAAGAAGAAGGAAAAAGAAGAAGGAAAAAGAAGAAGGAAAAAGAAGAAGGAAAAAGAAGNAAAAAGAAGAAGGAAAAAGAAGAAGGAAAAAGAAGAAGGAAAAAGAAGAAGGAAAAAGAAGAAGGAAAAAGAAGGCTGCCATCTAAGAACCCAATCACCAAAGGTGGGGATTGCCATCATTAAAAAAACTAATCAGCAATCTGTCTTGAGTACAAGACATTTAATATACACAAGGGTCTTAGCTCTGATGGAAATGGGCAGGACAAATATGTGTCTGTATACATAGCCCTAATCCAGGCTATAGATGCACCTTCTGACAGTTTTCCTGATGGAGAACCAATCCCAGGTCTCAAATAATAGTAATTTCTCAAACATATCACTCTCATGGACCTGCCCACTGGATGAACAATATCAAGATCCACCTAAGCTGTCTAAATTCTCTGCATCTCTAATGCACTTTCCACTGTGCCCTTGAACATGAAATTAAACCACAAGAGCTGGGCTGCCAAGGGGGATGCAGTGATACATGCCTGTGCTTTCAGCTGTGAAGCAATGAGATCTCCTGGGGTGGAAAGAAGAGGACCAGAGGAAAAAATAGGCAATTTACCTAAAAATTACTGTTAAAGGGAATGAGTTTGAGCCTTTCTTTCTTTTTTTGTTTTTTTCTAAAACACGCAGTACATGTCCACAAGGAAAACCACTCTGTAACATACTCCTAATAGCAATTTAAGTAGTCTAGAAATAAAAACTTCCCTGACAAGTGAAGTACTTTTTTGGCAGCTTAAGCAAATACACTTTTCCTGTTCTTTCATATAATTTAGAAAGTTAAAAGAAAAGGAAGGTACAAGATGAGTCATATGTAGAAGACATTAAAAGATAAGCCAAATTTGAAACAGAGAAAGCTATCAAGATCCTCATTTTAGAAATTGCTAGCTGGTCCTGCTGTCCTGTGCTATGGGCACACATTGAAACAGCTATGCAATCACTTTCCTTTCCAGCCAGAAATCCCTTAAAATATTCCTTTAGTAAATTTGTATTTGTTTTCACTAAGTAGCCCAAAGTGTCCCATGGATTTACAATTCAAATGTTTTAATGTGCTATGACTTTTGGGTTTGTTCAAAGAATGAGTCAAGAAGGCTAATTTGGCTTTATTCTGCACTTCTACTTGTAATAGCATAACCTCTAGCATTTTTTAATAAAGGGAAGTTCATTACGCAAGTTTGCTTTTCCTGTGCTTGCAAACTTCTTTACAGACCAGTATCTAAGCAGTCACCAATTCAAATAATGCAGCACAATCTGATATCAGATAAAGGAAATCAGCATCAGATTCTTAATAGCAAGAACAATATAATTGGTTTGTGTTTAAGATGTATAAAAGTGTCCCTTCAATTTATATTATATCAATGTTGAGGAGGTTAAATAAAGAATTAAAAAATTAAAAAATAGCCTTCATTACAGAGAGTAGTCTGTGGGTAAAAAATGAGGATTGGACACCCAATCCCAAACCCACTGCTGTTTGGGGCAGTAAAAATGCCCCTCTGTGTAAAACCCAACAAAACTGCAAGAGCTGACCAAAATGAGTGAAAAAGGCCTCACCAAAGCTTAAGCACCAATATGCTGATTCCCACTATAATTTCTTTAAACACAGGATGAGTCAAGGAGGTGAATTATTTTTTGTTTACAAGGATATTACACACTGTAGATTTTGAGTAGCATCCTAGTACTCAGGCCTTGCTAGAAATTGCCACACAGATGGGTCATTGGCTCACCAAGATCAATGTTGGAGGAATATAATTTCCAGGTCAGGAATTGTGTGTTGATCATGTCCACAAACCTGACTGAAACTGCTGTTGGGTCAATTAATTGTGGTTGTTTTATTAACAGCAAAAGTCTCCCAGCTGAGCAAGAATGAGATTAACATACAAGTTCAGAGTGGTTATACTGCCAAATACTTCCCCCTTGATGGAGCTGGGCACCAGCACAAAAATATTCAGAAATAATCCTCTGACTGCAGTTAGACCCCCAACCTCTTGACCTCAAGACCAACATTACACTGGGTCTAAAATATTAATTAAAAGGAAGTGTAGATCATAACTGAACATATTAAGCCAATCAAATTAAAAAGCAGGCCTACAGTGCTAAAAATTACTTCCAACAGACTCACAAGTCAGTAGAGATGGTGCAAACTCTCAGAAAGACTCAGTTGAAGAGACTGTAAATGTAACTCAATTTTTTTTAGGAGGAAACATACAAACAAACTCCAGAAAGGCAATGCTAGGTAGCAACTTCAGGACAATACACAGAGTCATAGAATGGTTTTGCTTGGAAAAGACTTTAAAGACCATGTAGTTGTAGTCCCCAGCCTTGGGCAAGGACACCTTCCACCAGATCAGGTTGTTCCAAGCCTCCACGAGCCTGGCCTTGAACAGTTCCAGGAATGGGGCATCCACAGCTCTCTGGACAACCTGTTCCACAGCCTCCCTACCCTCAGAGTGAACAATTCCTTACTAATATCCAACCTAAACACACTCTTTGTCAGATTAAAGCCATTACTCTAAAAAATTAATTGAAAACAACAGAACAACATACCATCCTTATTTGAAACATCTGCTGCTTGACTTGCAAGGTCAATTTTCATAGGCTCCACGGAAGTTTCCTCTTGCTCTTGTATCCCTATAATATAAGCCCAAGAAGGAGAAAAATCAATACTCACAGTATCTGATTAATATCTAATTCTCAGACTCCTCATGCCTGGCTTTTTTTTCCCTTCTGGCAAGCTCTTACCTTTGTAGACTCCACTGTTGTATAATGGCACCCACTAGAGAAGAGGACAAAGGATATAGGGAGAACATGACTTGAAAACAATTGCCTGAATATTTTTAGTAATTCAAATTATTTTTTTAACTGAGATTGTTAAAATCACATCGTGGTGCGTGCTTCTGCCTCCCCACCATTCTTTTCTCATCACTTTTAAAGAATCCCTTCTCTTCATAAAATGAAGTAAATGATGGGGACTTAATCACAGTTATAAAGTTTCTATAGCCAGTAGAAAGAAGAGAAATACAGTGAAGTGTTCAAATACACTGGGTAGCCAGACACAAACTAGAATATGAATGTAGGAAAATGCATTTTATCACTGTAACTCAATATTTTTATCTCTTCTGCCTCAGGCAGAAGCCGAAACTTAGATTCGAACTCCTAACAATATTTGAAAAGGAAAAACAATTAATTTCCTGGTTTAGACAGAGTTCTACTATTCTGCTATTGGCTAAGAAGCCAATTTTTATTTACATTCCATCATGCTACTTCTCTGCTTCTGTAAAGCCTGTTGCACTCATCCTGTGACTGAACTCTAGGATATCAGGTGGTTGGTCACTAAGGGATCCAGGCATTTGGCTGGTTGTAACGAGACAGAAGAGAGTAGTGAGGACTCAGATATTTCAGAAACATTTCATTCAAAAACTGAAATAATTTATCTGTTCAACAACACAGATGAAACCTTCACTGTCTCTCAAAAACCTCCTTCTTTCTCCTGTGGAATTCTAAAGTGGGGTTTTTAAGTTCAGCAGGGTGTACTACATTTATTTTGTCCATAAAGATGTATCTACTACTGACAATTCCAGCCACTTTTCCTTCTAATTTTATCTGTAAAACAATGGTATAATGGATACTTTAGTTTTCTCTCTGCTTGCTGGGATGGCCAAAGCTATTTTTACTGGCAACTTCTGCCACACTACCTATAGAGTCACAGAATCAGAGAATCATTAAGGTAGGAAAAGATGTCTAAGATAAGAGTCCCACTTTTAACCCAAGACTGCTAAGTGCACCATAAAACCATGTCCTCAAGTACTACATCCACTCACCTTCTGAACATTTCCAGGGTTGGGGATTCCACTGCTTCCCTGGGCAGCCTATTCCAATGCCTGACCTAAAGTCCTACCAAACTTGGGGGATGGATGACTTTACAGTGATAGAAATGTTACTTATCACTTTAACATACTTTATTTCTGATGCAGAAGCTTTTCAGTGGATCATCATATCACCAGCTTCACCTCTTTCTCACTGGTTTAAAATCATCTCCCCATGGATGCAAACAAAATGCCTGTAAACATCTGTGACTGGGAATGCTGCATATCTACCTGAAATGGCCCCTTTGTGGGTGCATCCAGCTCCAGATGTTTCTCCAGGGAATTCATGAGAGTGAGCGTGGTTATCTCCTGTGGTTTTTTATGTACCAACATCCCCAAAATTTCCCAGTGCTCACCCACCTGTCTTTTTGCCTCATGCAAAAGGTAAACCCAGGAGACCCTACATGAGTAATATGTATTTGGAATTTGTCAAGTACAAGACTGAACAGGTGTTTCAAAATCCCTACCTGACTTCTCCTGGCAAAATCAATATGAAATTTGAGGGACCATGAAAACACTGATTAATGAAGGAAGATACACAGACATTATGATTGTGATACATTTTGATTATCTGAGGGAAGCAGCTCTGTGAAAAATAAAATTTTGAAAAATCTCAGAATAATCAGGTGGGCTGGGAGGAAGTTTAAAAACCATTTAGTTCCAATCCTCCTGCCATGGGCAGGGACACCTTCCACTAGACCAGGTTGTTCCAAGCCACATCCAACCTGGCCTTGAACAATTCACGGGATTTTTGTTCTGCTTTTTCACCTTCTTTCCATGTCTGAAACTCTGATTCCCCATCTTTCTAGGAGGGGATTGTTGCAGTATCACTGGTTTTTCTGTTTTTTACACAGGGAGTTCACTGTTGGATATTGTCAGCATGAAAATTATAGTGGGAAACAATGTTCAGGGGCAACCTAGACAGAAGATGTTTTATACTTTTACTAAGCTAAGCACCACTGCAAATCTTGGGAAGAGATTTTCACAGTTTACCATCTCATTTTTTGGGAAAATTTACAAATTCAGTTACTATAAATGTAATTTCTTCCTTCATTATTACTATGGGATGGACGCAGGAATATTCACTATACTCCCATGCATGTGGAAATGGTATTATCCAAAATAGCTCCCCTGCTGTGGAGTCAATTCAAGCTCACTCTGAGATCAGCCCAATTCACATAAACAGCAGAATTTGATCAATACCAGAAACTGCCTTGACAACCAATTTATTCATGAGGCCTCTCCCTTGATCTAATTCCTTCAGGTTAAAGCACAAACAAGCAAAGGGTGTCAGGTCTCCATGCAGGAGCTGAGGGCTCCTGAAGGAGAGGGAGCCCAGGAGATACCACTTTCAATATCAATTCTCATTTCCAATTGTGCTCCTGCCAGAGCTCATTACCTGAACCCTTTGCCAACTGGTCACACAATCAGCTCAGCACTAACAAACAATGGGCTGCTGGCACAGGCAAGCAGGGTTCCCAGCCTTTCCCAATGCATAAGACAAGTATATACCAGGAAGACAGAAATCTGTGTACACTTATATAATCTCTTCGTTTTTTTCCTTAATAATCACTTGTTCTGTGTGCTAACAGTTAATACACCATTTTCTCTAGAGATTATTTTTCCCCCTCTAAATTCACATGCTGTTTGCAAGACTAACACGAAGCTCTTGTGGTAGCTCTTGGTACGTTAGCATTGATTTTCAAATTGTCCAAATATAGAGGTTAGGCATCTGTTTTACGAATCCCCAATAAATTCTAACAAGTAAAAAGCATAACCCTTGTCTTCCTCATCATCCTCTTTCTCCCTTTGCACAAGGGTTACATCTATTTCAAGCAACAAAAACAATTCAGGCTTAGAAGCTGTAACAACCCAAGAACTCAGTTTCTGCTCTGAGCTGCCTACCTTAAGGATGCTTATTTCTCTTTGACGAGTTTCAAGGGGGGGTTCTCCTGGCAGAACCTTCAAGACCAGCCTTGGCATCCAGATGTGGGTCAGGGATGTCAAGTGGGCTCTGAACAAGAAACCTGGGCTCCTGCTATTAGTTTCTACTTGTTAAAAATGTCAGAGACCCCCTTTAAGACAAACAGAAGAACCAGTTTCATGTGTAAATTGGTTCTGTCAGTGTAATCACATACTCCATGGTAACTTAAATCTTTAAAAATCCCCAATTACAGAAGTCTTGTAATAAGTGGGAAATCCTGGCTCTAAGATCATTCTGAATATTTGAGGGAGAAAATAGTTGGCAATACTACAAGAATCCTGAAAACTACTCTTTTTACAGGCAAAATGGCAATGCCATTATTCCCATAGCTAGTCTGCTCTGCAATTCTGGGTGTTGCTGCAGGAATTCAAATAAAATACTATCCTGCCCACAGACAATGTGTAACCTGAAGAAATTCATTAGTTGTAAATTATGCATAAAGGAGTTGCTTCTACTTGTGTTACATACTTTGAAAAAATTGCCTCTGTCATGCAATAGGAAAACCACGTTAGAATTATACTGAACAATCCAGATTTCTCCAATTCATGCCCACTGTTGTTTTGAGTTTAGTTGTAAATATGCTTCCCCTAATCATGAGACTCTGAGAGAGTCAGGCACATTAAAAAGGAATAAATCCAAATTTCTCTGTTTAAAATTGGAACACACCATTTTTCATCTGCAGTAACAAAACCAAACCAACCAACCAAAAAAAAAACGCCCAAAAGCAGATAAAACTCTTCTGACCAACAGCTGCATTCTCTTCTGTCAAAACCAGTTCCCATCTCCTTGCTCTGCAAATAGCCAGAGTTGTTTTTTTTCCTTCTTTCCAGTCATTTCATTGTAGCACTTTGCTAATGTGACTGTCAAGCCTTCACATATTTTGTTTACTGCTGTATTTTAGTGGCATTATAAATGCTGCCTCATTTAGAAACTGAAGCTGTCTGTGATACAAGGATTCTGTTTGACTCCTGTTTGATATCCATCTGGGATGACTGACCTTTTTAATCAGACCAGATTCTACCACATCAAATACTTATGCTGTCTTTTTGTATGGCTTTATAGGTATAAGCACCCAACCTGCTGCTCTTGGAGCACTAAGAAATAAAACAGGAGACCTTTTCCATCTGTATTTCATTACATTTGGGCTGGAGGGCACTTTTCTCCCTTGTTGTCCTTCTGCAATAGCACAGGTCAAGCTTGACAATTCCAAATCTGCAGGAATGGCCGTGCCACCACCACGCCTCTCGCTATGCAGCATGGCTCAGTAAATAACAAACAACTCCATCTGTTATATCAGAATTACCACACCTCGATCAACCACCACCCTGTCCCCAGCAATTATGCTCCACAGAGATGAAAGAAAACTCCAGGATGCAGATTTCAAAGGAGGGTGTGCTGGGTTTCTCAAGGCACTGAGTGAGCATCATTCTGGATTTGTTTTGCAGCCCCTTCATTGTTAATTGGCATGTGCAGCCTCCTTTTTGGCATTTTGGCTTTCCAGAGTAAACTTCTGTTTGTACTTCTGTTTTCCAGAGTAACAAAGAGTGATGAATCTCCCTTTCACTTCAGTGCAGTGTGTGTCAGCTCAGCTCTGTGTTTATGCACACTACTGTACCTAAAGGCATCATGCTGCTCCCAGCCACTGTTATTCCCAGATCAAGCTGAACACCAATTTAAAAAAATGCAATTTAAAAGTGTCTAAGATCTGCTTATCTCTATCCCCTTCAAGCCTTTTATTAAACATACTGTTAGTAAAATCCCATTGTGGCAACCATTCTCCA